ACTAGTAGCTTTCATTTACTGCCTCCATCCTCTATCTCTTTTTTTTTTTTTTTAATTTGCTTATACTGGCCGGTTTGTTTATTGATTCATATTTTTCTCTCTTTCTCATTCTCTCCGATATACACATCTCCGCTTCTAGTAATAGTAAAACACGATTTTAATTGGATATATCGCGTTTTTCGATGTCGATGGCTTTTCGCGTTTTTTAACTCGTGTTGGACGCAACGAGAGTAGGCGTTGCGCGAACTCCAACGAGTAATCGAAAAATCAAAAAAGTTGTCAATGCGCCACGTACGTGTTGCACTATCCGTTTACCAATGAAAGATTGAAATACGATGTAGAAAATTTACTTTATCGCTTTAACATTGTTTGACGACATCATCCAAAGAAATATAAAACAATGAGAAAGAGTTTTACATTTATATTAAATAAAGAGTTTGTCATAATCGACAAGCAACGTGCAATTTTCAGCACTTCTTTTATGTAATACTGTTTCTAGAAATTTAAAATTATTTACTACAACTCATTTATATGTATTTTTCTTAATAAGCAATTAAACATTTAAATAAACAAAGATTCACTAGATTTGCTATACCAATAAAAAAGATTAACTTAAAAAATTAAGCATTGCACAAACTAATTATTTGAATATTCCATCAGATTACCAGCATCAAGCTTAGTTTACCTTTGGTTTTAGACTCACTTGATTTATTCAGAGTGAACCAAATTGTGAAATAAGAACAAGTATGTAGAATTACTGTCGAAATTATTAACAATAGTAGCAATACTTAAAAAACGACGTATAAATTTACTTTCAACATTATGTGCACAAATTTATCCGCTACATATCAAATTACATTCGCCCTTCCACTGTTTAGTAGAGTGGCTATTACTGCGCAATTTCTTAGAAACTATTTACATCACATAATGTATTTACTATGTTGGCTGCCGATAGTCTTCTTAGTGTTCGTTGATTTTTCGAAACAGTAAGATAGCGATTTAAGCACTCGCAATTCTCAAGACGGTGCTAACGATGTACTATTGTTACAAATTGTTAATTGTTACAAAATATTGTAATTTAAAATTTCACATAATTTTAATACATATAGGTGAGTTATCATAGGTGTGAAAAATTCCTCATTAAAAATATAAAAATGTTTTCTAAAATACAACAAATACGGTTTTATATTGTTAAAAACATATTCTTTAGTGCTAACGTACATCGTACACTATTCATTTAATTTCTTTTTTCTTTTAATTTTTACTACATAAATTCAGATAAACATAACTATTAATTATCAACTATTTCAATATAAAATTTTTACATTAAATATATATCATACATTAAAAATCAATTATTTCGATACTTGCAAAATTTACTGAAAAGATTATTTGGATTTTCTCGAACTTAGTGTACATATATTTGGAGTAAAGAATTATTTAATTACTTTCAATATTGCAAATACGTAATATTCTATAAAATTAAAATTATTCTATTAAATTGTTTCATTTATCGTGTTTTTATTATTGTATATATTTTGTATAACTCTCTTTGACCTTCTTAGTTTTATATTTAAAAAAAATTTTTGGACAAATTATGTTGCTCGTAAGATGGTATATAATCTCTCGTGTTTAAAATTTCTTCTTTAACTATTAAAATATTATTGACTATAAAAATGATTTTTTCCTTCTTTTAGTCACTTTCATGAAAATACTACATCGCTTTAGTACGATTAACTGCAAAAATTATTATAAAATCCTTATTTTTCTTATATAGAACTTAAACAGAATGTGTTGCAAATGTATGTGCTTTTTTCTAATCTAAAAAATTCTTCTTGTAGATGCTATAAATGGAAATTAGTATAACATTCCGAAATATTTTATTAAATGTCGGATTAATATTAATCATGATACTTAAACTATCTACTGCACAATTGACGAAAAATGACACAGAACCCAATAACAACGTTTTGAATGGCACTCATTTAATACCATTGCATTATGATGTCAAACTAACATTTGACATATACAAAAATATCTTTTTTGGAGAATGCAATATCACTATCCAGATTAATCGCCAAACAAAAACGATAACTATAATGAACTCAGAGACTTTCGCCATAATAAAAATTGATCTGATTGACAACAATCGTAATCAGACATTCAACATTCATAATATTTCATTAATGAATAAAATGTACATTCATGTTGATATTTCCCAATTATCAGTAGATTTTTTATCTCCTGGTACGTATATCTTGAAAATAATATATGTTCGTACCATATTAGATGATGGAGATATTTTCGAATCTTTCGACACAGTCAAAGAAGAAGACAAAGTGTAAGTAAATTTAATCAACTTTTAATGAAATTATGATTCAAATTTTACATTAACAATACATTTAAAATAAAATAGATTAAACAAAGATAACACTAAAGTAATGAGAGTTGGAGAATTAGTTCCATGTTGAGACGAGCCGTTATTTAAATCAACCTTTAACATTTCTATCCGACATGATAAAAACTACAAATTCTTATCGAGTATGCCAATACAAAACCAAGTTTAAGATATGAATAACACGCTGTGGACTCACTTTGACCAATCATCTTCAATGTCCGCTAAACAATTAACAATTGTGATAACCACATTGACTTATCTCTTCACTTATAAAAATGTCAAATTTTGGTGTAGAAATGAGGTGATAGATCAGATGCATTTTGCAGATATCATTGTTCATAGCATCATAAACTATTTGATATATCAAACTACAAGAAAAATAACAAAGATAGATTATTTTGTAATTAAAGACTTCCAACGCAACAACCTAACGACATGGGGATTCATTTTATTAAGGTAATACTCACTATTAATACACCCAAATATTAAAATATATAAATATATATTCATTTATAATGTCTCAAAATTAAAAAATATGCAAAAAATATGCATATTTTATTCTTAATATGGTTTTTAAAAAGCAATTAACACGTATCTTTTTATCATTTTATGTTTAAATATTCTTTTCTTTATTTTAAACAAAAACTTAAAATAATTATTCTTTATGTCAAATCAGGATTTACTTCAAATTTCATTGTTGAAAGCATTGTTGAAAAATAACCGCGTTTTACGTTTTATACACAAGTAAGACATGTGCTATAACATCTTATTTTTTCTATCAATAATAATAAGAAGAAAATCATTGAAGTTCTTGTCAATAAAATGATGTTATGCACGTAATATTATTGATGCAAAAATGCAAATACTTTTCCTTCTTTTCTTAAAAATAAATTCTATGTAAATGTGTACATAAGTAGTTACTGCCATGTTATTTCATTAAGAATAACATATAATGTTTATTAAAAATATATGAAAACACAAGGTTATTTATATGTAACTTGCTTTTTAAACTTTATTGCTGATTTATCTTTAAATTTCTTTTTAACTAATTGTAAGTGTAATTAATGTCTATTTGTGCCTTCGTAATAACTTGTAACGACTACGACGACAATACAAAAATTTATTAATTTGCATAATTATAATAAAAGTTTCAGGTATATTTTTAATACTTGAAAATAATTTTCAGGGAAGATGAGATTATTTATAATAAAACATTACATCCCGTTCGCAAAATGGAAGTGTCAAATTTAATAGCACGTGAAACGATATCTCATTGGTACGATAATGTGTTTCTGTGGTCAAAAGAAGGATTTCTTACAGCATACATTTTGAATCAGGTTTTTTAATATTTTTACTATTAGTATACTATATTTTTAAGCTTTATAATATAAACGACCAAATGTTAATAGCAGCTGTCAATAGCGCTAACTACATGTTACCAATATTCAAACACTCTTTTCGATTATATATTTACTTGATAATGTCACGTTTTGCAGAGTGAGTTATTATATCGCGCTATGGACCTATTTGTTGTCCAAACACATGAGGAATCTTTACGTTTTGATACTCTTCCTACAGATTCTTTTCCATTTATATCATCTTATCTTTATATCAAATGTAAGTTTGAGTGAATGTAACTAAAATATTATTTATAATTTTAAAAAACATACAATTTAAAAATATTTAGAATTGTTCGTAAATTTTTAAATTTTGCTGTAGAATATTAGTAACCTTTTAATTACAAATCGAATAAAATATAACTCATTTGTATATATTATTTAACCTCTCATAAGTTGGCAGGACCAAATCAGCAGAATCGAATGCGACTTATCGGAAAATTTAGTACTCATTTTGTACTATTTTGTACCACAAAAAATAATTTTGTACTCCGTGCCATTTAAGAAAAAATCGTGGCGCTGCCAACTTCATATTAAGCTAGCAAAACCAAAAAAAAAATATATATATATAAATAAAAAATACAACGTATACAGTTAGCGCTGAATTTGTATTAATTTGTACCACCCAAAAAAAGTCAAAATATTTCCATTAACCCTTTAAAACAACCCTTATTTCGTCTATCCTAGAAAATAGGACATTTCTCTTCCGATCATTTAAGAATTTAACCAGCAAAATTGAACTAAATTTATCTTATTACTTACCACTTGTCATGTACTATTTTGTACCACCAGAAAGAATTTTGTACCCCGTGTTATTTGAAAAAAATCGTGGTCCTGCCAACATGATGTGGAACTATCCGAATAAAAATTATTAAAAAATAACAAATAACGATAGATTCTATTAGTACTGAATTTGTACTAATTTGTACCACCCAAAAAAGTAAAATTTTTCCATTAAC